TCTCTCTCTCTCTCTCTCTTTCGTTCGCCGCCTTTACTTATTTCTGCTCCTTAAAATCAAAAAAACCCTAACAAAAAATTTTCTCTCAACAACACAAACATGTTTGCTCTTTTCTCTCTCTCYCTCTCTCATCTCGTTTTTGAAACAACCACCAACCAAACTTTTCTCGCTAACTCTCGCTACAACAACAACAACGAACAATCCAAACCAAAAAACAACTATATGCTATATCAACTGTCAATAAAATCCGACAACAACAACAACAAACAACAAACACAACAACAACAACTGTTACTACTACTATCATACCAAAAACGTTACAACAACAAATCGTTCATCACTCAAACAGGGCAATGCGGCGAACTCATCGGAGACTTCAATGGCCACACAACCAGGCGGCTCGGTCACATCGCGTGCCGCATCRGAGACACGCTCTGGACCGCCGGGATCGAGCAGCGGCGCTGGCGCAACAGGTAATAGCAGTGGAACTGCTGGTAGTACACACACCGGTGCAAAATTCCGTCATGGCCTATTGCAGCTTATGATACACACAATAGATCCGCTACATGATGGTGAGTTCATAACGTTTCCATTAGTGTTTTGCACTTCCTAACATCCTCCCGTCCAACCACCACCAAATACATGCGCACCCGCACACACACACACGCACACAAAACCACAAACAACCRCAAATACATCTCCCAAAAATTCTAACTAAAATTTCCAAATCCAAACACCACAACAAACCAAAGATATACCCCCACCTTTCCCACCCCGATAACATATAACAATAGCCTTTAATAATGAATAAGTTTCAAGCATATAATTAAATAAAATTAAAAAACAAATTATCGTAACCTGAAAATTCAAAAAAGTTATTGAAAATTTAGCAGCTTCAAAGTGCCTAATTTGAGTATAATGAAAAAAAAGAGCAAGAAAATTTGCAAAATTCCGTTTACGTTCTTTTGCCGTATTTAATAAAAATTAAATTTTTCAAAAAATTAATTTACAAAAAACCCAAAAAATAATTTAATCCAAATTACCGTTAACGCTTAGTTCGCATTATCACATATAGTAAATAAATAAAAACAAAAGAAATTATTGTTGCTTTTGAGTTAAAAAATCTTGATCCTTAAATTGCGTTTATTGTTGTTAGTGTTGCTTCAGTTTCAAAATTTTACTTGGCTGTTATTCATGCTGCCTGATTACTCATAAATATTACACAAAATTGTAAGATTTTTCAAAAAAATTTATGAAAATATTTTTTCCTTATTAGAAGCTTAGCTAAAACGCATAATTTGCCAAGTTTTTTTTTTTTTTTTTGTTGCAAGAAATTGGATTTTAAATATTCATGCATTGTAAGTTATGTTCAATAGCGAATTACAAATTGGTCTTGCTTCGGCGAGTATGCATAGTGTTTTCAGTTGCTAAAATATATACAGGGTGATAGTTAGTAAGAGAACGGTTTTAGTTTAGTTCAAAAAGCACCGAGATAAATATTAACGAAAAACCTTATTACTAAACTAAATTTTAAATTTGGTTTATTTCGATAATTTCCGCTAAATTATGATTATGAAATATCGATATTGTCGACAGTTTATCGATACACATAATTTCCAATAAAAATTTTAGAAACTCTTCTATGTAGCCAAATTTTAAGGGACATATCGATCATTTTAAATTGATATTATTTCGATATTTTTCGCTAAATTATGATTATGRAACATCGATATTTTCAATATCGRTATTGTTTATCGTTTATCGGTTAACGTCATTTCAAATAAAATTTTTTTAAAACTTTGCTGTTTAGCCAAATTTTAATGGACATATCGAGCATTAAGAAATATTGACGCATTTCAAGCATATCGATATATTAAGTATTGATATGTTTTTTCCATGCTTAACAGTGGTTTCGAAGGATCTTAGACATCTCATTTATGCTCTGATAATGTAGTATGTAAGTGTATTTATTCGCTCCGATAACTATCGAAGAATATCGTTATAATAAATATTGATATATTTCTTAACTTCCTATACTTAAACTAGATACGAATACAAATTACTGTGAACGGTTCATATACTTGTAGGCACTAATGCTCTGATAATCTAAAGACATATCGCAATTTTCTACTAATTAGTTAAATCACTCTAATTTAGTGTATACTTGTACCTTAAACTATATACCTTATAGAGAAGTTTACCGAACGCTATTGGCACATGTCCTCTAACCCAACTTTGGTGTCTCGGTTATGGTTATTTGAAACTTTTCTCCCAAAGGCCCAATTATTACGGGATTAAAGAATTATCTTTCGGCAATATAAGCATCTCGTGATCGAATTTCGACTTTGTTACACAGTAAAGATCTATCGATCTCGCTATTCCGATTTCGACATCATTTCAAAACATTTTGAGAGATCGGTAGAGTATTCGATCAAATATGGCTGCTCAATCTCTCTTTCTGTCCCACGTCAAACAAGTAATATAATATTATAGGACAGGCAATGTATTTCTTTAGAACCTTTTAACTGTCCTAAACCTGAAACAGTACCAGTTAAAAACTGTCTACATTTAATAACGTTAACTGAGTAGGCTAAAGAATATTTAAGATTCAAACTGGGTAAATTAAAATAAACAAATCGAGAATAAATTTCTGGAGATTGCTTAGGTTACATAAGGTTAAGACGTCGATCCCAACATTCATCTATTTTAGATGGCTTAGAACGCCCGTTCGTTGTGATACTCAAATACTYTTATATAACAAATCAAAAGTTATTATTAAAGCTTTATAAATCGGCAAAGCGCCTTGAACCTATCACAAATGTATTGAGACCTTCTGCGTTTTACTGAACTTGGTAACTCTATGCCTACCGCCACCTTAATAGCAGCCACTTCTACCTGAAAAACTCTGAAATGGTCCGGTAGCCCAAAGCTAAAATTGACGGAAATCCCCTTGCAGAAAAGTCCACCTCCAACCTCCCCTTTTGCCTTCGACTCTTCAGTGAAAAAACTCACTGCGCCTCTTCTTCAGCGACTTTTCCTCATAATCCTCGTCAATATGTGAGCAGAGAAAAAGCAGGCTCTAGTGGCCTCAAATTTTCATGAATACGGTTGATGAAGAGAGAATAACAACGTAGCTTATTCGGACCCCTTCATATAACCAGCTTCTCTAARCTTTAAGCACACTTCACAGCAATACATCTGTCGGTAGTGTCTACGGATGCTAATTTTGGTGTAGTTCGCAGACATCGCAGATGACAAAGGGAGCTACTCTTTTTACACRTCGAAGTTTCGTAGCAAGTGTATCTATTTTCGATCGGTCTTCATCAGATGAATACACCATAGAACATTATTGGCTTGACTACGGTTTCGCAGAGCTAAAACACCAACTTTGATGAGAGTCCGGATCTTTTTCCTATAGCTCCTATATAGCAATMTAAGGTAACCGATCCCTTTCTTATTCTCTTCCCGATATTTGGCCTCCAAAAAAGCTTTGTACCAAGGATAATCCCTTGGTATTTCATCTTGCCAACAGAATGAAGACTAAAGTCTATGAAARAGATCTTATGCATCACTGGTAAGGTAAGGAGATAGAGTTGATAGAGTTGGACCTGTTTATGTACTGTTAAAATTTTGCCAGCTTTATCGGAAGAAAGACGCGTAAATATTGATMAATGGATTAAATAAAATGTTTTTGAGGACAGTATTCTTATTCAACAGCAAAAATTAAATCACTYTTCTCCTTCGTCAGCTAAAAACATAACTTTTTGTTCAAAACGAAATTTTTGACRAATTTTTTGGCTCTTTGAKACTTCAAATAAACTCATCAAGAAACATCAAACTCAAATCAAAACTCAGCGGATCCTAACATACATACTCGCAAATAATTATTTGAYTTGTAAATATGTTTCTATAGCAACTAAGCAATAAACATAAATATTCATAATTATTTTGGTAGGCGMAACTGTAAAATTTAAACAACCGTTCTCTCTCTGTAGTTTCATTGTTTCGTTCTGACCCATTTGAAGTTGTCAATTCTAATTTACTATGCTTCTGATATAACTAAATCTCTAAAAATATATTCCAAAATTTTAATTACGAAAATTCTAAAACTAAATTCACAATTTTTAATTTAAAAATTCTAAAACCAAATTCAAAATTTTTAATTTAAAATATTCTGTAAAATATTTTCCAAACCTAAAAAAAACAAAATCATTGTAACATTATTTGAAAAAGGCTTCACAACGACATCTTAGTAAAAAATAAACACCCACACATCACCCTGTATAAAAAACCAGTGAGATTGTTGGTTTGTAAAGAGAAAATTTTACGTTCCGTTAAATCAGTTTGTGTAAAAAATTTGCAATTATGTGCGTTTATTTACAAATATACATATAAATATAAATATACTCATAATTTTTTGCATTTAGTTTGGTTTTTGTTTGTGTAATTACCAACAAAAAAATACAAATAATTAAAATTTTAACAAAAAGAACCACTTATTGAAAATTTAAATTGCTCAGCAAAAAAWCAAAAATTACAAAAACAAACAAATATTTACTCAATATGTGTAAAAAACGCTATTTTGTGTTGTTCAATGTCAGTTTGGAGTTGAATTTATTCAAATAATAAATTAGTTAATTAATAAAAAATTGTTGAAGCGAGTTGTTTCCAAAATTTCTTATACAACTTTTTGCTGCTTGCAATTTGTTGCTGCCACCAATTCGTTTTTTCTCATATRTATATAAATATATTTATTATAAATAACTTGCGTTCGTAAGTGAAATATTGATTTGATTAAAAAAATATTTACTATTCACAAATAAATTGGTTGGTTGTGTTATTGCATAGTGTTGCTTTACGGAATTGGTATTTAGCTGCGAGTTATTAATATATGTGTAATATATTCAAAGTAAATTAGTTTAGTGTGCAGTTTACTTAATAATAATATGTATTTCTATTTATTTTTGTTTTTAGTGTAAGCCATAAAAGTGTTTGTGAAAGCTTTAAGGCGCATGCAGTCGTATTAAAGTTTTGCAGCGAAAACCGAATTAAAGCATGAACTATTTGTACATACTTTGACTGTAAGCGCCAAAAGGTGTTACAACAAAAATTTAATAAAACGTTTAAGCTCTTAGAAAAGCACTTAATGAGCTTTTGTCACTTTATATGAATATTCCCACATGTTTTTGATTTTATAGACAGCAAACGCTAAAACTTGTTTACAGAATTTTCAGAACGAAAGCTTTATGCGGTTTTTGATCACATAGGAAAGCTCTTTAAAAGCTAGTGACAATTTATATGAAATATTCCTACATACCTTCAATAACAAACCTTTGTTTGTGAAGTTTTGGCAAGGAAAACTTTTTAAAAGCTCAAAAGCTCTATAGAGAAAATATTTGAAAGCTATGAATAAGATTTTGAGAAATACAAGAAAAAATATCACGCACATTCTCTGACGGCCTAAAAATATTTCGAAAGCTCCTAGGAAATATCAAATAAAAAGCTCTTGAAAATCTTTTGCGATTATATATAAAATATACTTMAATTATGCAATTAAGAATTCCAAAACCTA